AATATATAAAAAAAAACAAAAACAGACATGGGCCTGTCCAGTATATTTGTTTCTTCTTGATGCAACTTTCATGTTGTCAAGTTTCTGGACATGAGTGGTTTTTGGTAATATTACCCTTCTCTGTAACATCTGTAGAATCTCTCTTTCATTCTTGATGTTGATGATCTGCATTCTCTCTCTCTCTCTCACTCTGGCCAGCTAGAGATTTGTCAGTGTTATTGATGTATCAGAGAGCTAGCTTTTGGTTTTACTGATTTTTCTCTGTTGTTTTTCTGTTTTCAGGTTCATTGATTCCCTGTCCTCCCCCCTCGCTTGCCCACCGTATTTTTGTTTGCTGTTCTCTTCAGTATCTTACATTAGATGTTTAGATTACTAACCCCCGGGCTCTTCTTTCCTAGTGTAAGCATTTTGCATGTTTCAGTCCACACTTTTTCCCCACCCTGGAGGCAGCCAACCTTGTTATTTTCTTAGGATCCTTGCACAGCCAGTTTATACACAAACTAGCAAATATGTGATAACATTATCCTTTCCCTCTTATTTTTAAATATGAGGCTGCTGGATAGTCTTGTAGTAATTATTTGCTTCTACAGCCTACCTTTTTTTTTGTAACTTAGTAATCTTCCTGGGATATAATTCTGTATTTTTCCTATATTATTTCCTGGTCTTTTAAATGTTAGCAGCCAGTCCGTCTTCTGTTAATGACCAGTTTGGTTATTTGCAGCCTTTGGCCGTGCGAGGTAGCACTGCAGTAAATGATTATGGATCCACACATACCTGAAGATCGCTGGTTGTATTTCAGTGTGAAATCCTGCGGGAAAAGAGTGGGACGCTTTTGGACCTTCTTTGCCCGTCTCTCTCTTCCCTGTGTCTTGACAGTGTGCTGTCTCTTTCCTTAAAAGGCCCCATTGGCATGAAGAAAAAGAATAATTGCATTTACGTACCAGCTCTTCTATTTGTTCTAGCCAAAGAACTCCAGACCTATCTAGTCTTATTTGCAAAGTAATTCATTTATTTCAGAATTAGAACCAACAGTCATCACTTTAAAAAGCCCAGTAGGTTCCTAAAGGCAGGCATTAGCTTTGACTTTTACCCATCTGTGGCTTGTGTATATATGTGTATGTATGTGTGTGTGTGTGCGTGTGTGTGTGTGTGTGTGCGTGTGTGTACATGTGTAAGAAATACCAGTAAATTAACAAATATTTGTACCTGTAGCATAGGGAATGCCATATTTTCTTGGTCATATTCACAGGATAATCTAAAAAAGAGGGTTGGAAATATCTTCAATAAGAGAAAGGATAAAATGTGGTGTACGTTTGTATAACAGAATACTGCATGGCAGAATGAGTTAATATTTGTAACAGAATGACAGGTCTTGCAGATATCATGGTGGCTTAAAGAGGCTAGATGCAAGAGTGCCTGCTGGGAGATTCCATTTCTATGAGGTTCAGGGACAGCAGAGTGACCCCTGCTGTGGGAGGGCACGTCTCAGCACAGTGGGAGGTGGCTTTAGGAAGCAGGTGGCTTTGGGGTGCCGGAGGAGTTTCTTGACGCGAGCATGATTATGACACAAGCTTGATTACGTGAGCACCTTTATTGTGTGGAAATTCATTAAATTGTACTCTTATGAGTCGTATGCGTTTCTGTTTGTCCAGAAACTGTCAAGAGCATGTACCAGGGGCATAGCCATTGGCTGTGGTGAGAGCCTAACATTGCAGGAGACTTCAGAGGTGACACTTGCTGTCTCTTGGAAACAATAATTCTTAGATTAATTGTGCAAAACTACTAACGGATATTTTATTACAGAATGAAGGGAAATAAATTGTAATCATGGAAACAAAATTTTTAAGTCCAAGTTCGCAGTGTTCAAGAACGGTCTTTGGAGACAGTCATTAATTTGATTAACAAGAACCTCGTTATAGTTTCATCTGTCTCTGACTTTGACTCTTAGCTAAAGCCACTGCCTTTCTCTGTGCCCAACAGCCGTCCGTGTCTCTTCCATGTATGTTTCTGTGTGTGGACGCATGTTACTTATTTTCCTGTTGGATCTTTGATAAAATCGGTTCCTTGGGGGCTCTGACTCTCAGTCATGGCTGAGGTTTTGAATCACCCGGAGAACTTTGGAGGATTATCGACGCCAGGGCCGCCCCTGCACCAGGCCGGACGGTTAGGACCTGTGGGGAGCAGGACCTGTGCCTTAGTATCTGCTGTTTTGACTTTCTTGTATACATTGTAGTATGGCAAATTGAACATATTTCAGAATGTATAGCGTAAATATCTTTTAACCTTATGTTTTTTCCTTCTGTGTTTTCCCATTTAAACCAGTAGACTAATCTGGTAATGCTGTATTGATGGGTAGGTATAGATAGTGTGCAGTGATCAAATGCGTCACCTGAAACATGAATCGTTTCTGCATTGGGGATACCCAACAGTCTGGCAGGTATCCTGACGTGTATAACAAAGCACTGGCAGTGGCCAACACCCTGCGATGCTGGAGGGCACTAGGATTTGATCCTCCCTGTATGTGTGTATGTGTGCCCATCCGCGCACAGGCTGCCTCCCCACCCCCAAGCCTCTGCCTCGCACTGTGCTGCTGTCTGCTTCTGTGACGTCACTCTTTGTGGCTTCTACATACAAGTGAAAACATGCAGGATTTGTCTTCTTTCACATAGCGGAATGTCCCCTATGCTTGTCTGCTTTGTCACAATGCTGGAGTCTCATTCCTTTTGAAAGACAGACTAATCCTCCGTGTGTGTGCATATTCCACATGTTAGGGAGCACCCGGGTTGACTTTGTGTCTCAGCTTTTGTGCTGCGGTGAACACGGAAGTCCAGATACCTCCCCTGACAGACTGATGTGCATTCCTGCGGGATATGTACCCAGCAGTGAGCTTGCTGGGACTTATAGGAGTTCTAGTTTTTCTAGAAACCTTCAAAACTATATTCCATGATGGCTGCACTCACGCTTCCACCCACTGTCTGTGGTTGCCTCCTTTCCTCCTCATCCTTGGCAGCTTTCATTATTGTTTGCCTTTTTTGTGATAACTATTCTAATGAGGTAAGATGCTGGCCTGTTTTGTTCTGAGCTTTTTGATTGGTGGGAGTGAGCATTTTGCTTATACTTGCCAATCATTTGTGTGTCTTCTTTTGAGAAATGTCCTTTTCAGGTCTTTTGCCCATTTCAGAATCAGAGTATTCCTGAGTTGTTGGTTTTTGCTGTTGAGTTGTTGGGGTTCCTTTTGTCCTGGGAAGGCCTCCGTAGATGGATAGTTTGCGGGTGGGTTTTTCACTCTGCCGATTGTTTCTGTTGCTGTGCAGAAACTCCCCTTCTGATAAAGTTCCATCACCACGAAGTCTCAATTATGTCCTGGACTTCAGTGGTTTTCTTGCTTCAACTTTCTGGGCCACTTGACTGTGTAATGGAAGTTGTATCCATCAGAGTTCAATCATTCCACAGGACTGCCTCAGGAGGTGCCTCTGCCACCTGCCTGGGCATGGCACTGTTGCTTGTGTCTGAGCATGTGGTCTGCAGGCACTCCCAGGGCTCCACCCCAGGGCACCGTGGGTAGCTGAGCCTGCCTTTCCAGGTAGCTCCATCTATGGAGCCCTGGAGGGAATGGAGTGCTTTGTGGTTGTGGAGTGTCTGTCATACGCTTATATTCCTGGTTTTGAAAAAAATGGGAAAGCCAATATGCAATTTTTTTTTCTTTCATAAGGGACAGAGAACTTATCCCATAAGATACTACATGCTTAAGTGTAAACTCAACATTTGGTTGCTTGATATTAAAAACAGAAAAAGGTCCACCTGTAAAAAGTTTATATCAGTCTTAGAAATCCATTCCCTTTCAATTAAGTGATGACCTTACAGCTGTTGAGTTTTCCCATACAGTGGAGAGCCCTGTGGTTAAGCACTCCATCTTATTTTTGCTAGTTGCTGAGATTCCTTTTTTACCTTAGAAGTCAACTCAACAAGCGGTAATAGCTTAACACCTTGCTCTAACAAATGCCTCATTTCCTGGTGCTGTTTTCTCCAAGAACCTTCTGGTTGATGAACAGTGTGCACCCTTTTGCCCATTCTGATCTTTCTGCCTGCGGAGAAGGCTTGGAAATGGGAAATGCCCTGGGAAGATGTTGAGTGGAGAGAAACAGGACACCACTTGGCTTTGATAGTAATGAGAGAGTTTTCCTAATTGCAAACTCTCTTCCCCCTGAGTTGCGATGAAGCTTCAGGAGCATGAACTCTTGGAAATGAGCAGGAACGCTCCTTGCTAACTTAACTCTGGTAACTAGCTTGAACAGCAACTGTAGGTTTTGCATCTGCTGTAAGCCCTGGGCAGAAATGAATGGACGGAGCCTTGGGCGTTCGGACCTAGTGGTCCCATCTTTGTTCCGTGGGTGGTGTGCAGTGCTCCTGTTGGGGGAGTCCCCTGTGTTCTGTGCCTTGCCCATCCCATCCCCTATGTTTCTCTCCTGTTGCTGGAGGGAAGAGCTGAGGGACAGACACAGTGGAGCTTCTTGGGAGAAACACTGCAGACCAGTGCACTGTCCAGTCTTTATGGCAAGGTGCATGCTGTTGTGTGGTGCCCAACAGTACCCACAGGCTCTCACATCTCCACACAAGGGCATATTTCTGAATCACAGTCCTACCAAGGGACCCCTCTGTTTTCAGCCTTTCATGACACCTGCCTGTGGATGCATTGGCTTTAGTTGATAGGGAGTTTTTTTCGGGTTCATCCATTTGAGCTCCACTTACATAGTTCATATAAATTACCTTACAGACCGTTTCCCAAACTCATTTCCAGATAGTGTAAATTAGCTTACTTTTCACCTAAAAGATGAAACCTTAATTTTACAAAGGGGTGGAAAAACAGTTTCTAAATGTGGTAAAATTGTTTCCCATGAGAGGGTAGGCATCAATTTACTGGTTGCTAAATATTTAGTGATACATTTGATTGTTTTTGTGGTTCCAGATAGCAATTATTTCTAATATAATTTATTTTGCAGTGAGGGCCGAGGCAAGTTGACGGTATTTTCAGTTAAAGCTATGTTAGCAACCATGTGTGGTGGAAAAATGCTGGACAAATTACGATGTAAGTATTTTCATGTTATTTGAAAATCCTTATTTTCAAACTAGGCCTTTTAAACAACTATAAGCAAATGTTTTCAAAATTCGGGATGGTGCTGTATGGAGAGCTTTCTTGTTTTTATGTTAAGTGCGCTGCTCTGCCACCAGCGGCTCAGTGTGTGCGTTGCGCCACCTACCGTTCCCCTGGGAAAGTGCAGTGATTTGAATTTGCTAGCGTTTGCACAAGTGAGAAAATCAAGGCAATTCAAAATGGTAATTGTGACATTGTAAACATTCTCAAAAGTATTTCCATATTATGAAAAATTATGTTTAAAGACATTTATGTTGAGAGATTTTAGTCAGAAAATAAATCTGATTGCTTTTTCTAAGTTCAGTCAAGTTTAGCTCAGTAATTTTATTCATCCTGTGGTATTTACTGTGGTTAAACTGTTACTTAGTCTCTTAGTGTCAGGCTTAATTGTTCAGAAATTTATAGTCTATTTTTTTCTTTGTGTCCCCCCCCTTACTTTGCATATTTTTTCTTTTCTCTTTTCACTAGATAGGATGAGAAAGTGATTAGAGGAAATCAAATGAGATGAAGTGAGCAACTGTTTATTATTATTTTTTTTTATTGGAGAGTCAGATATACAGAGTGGAGGAAGGACAGAGAGGAAGATCTTCTGTCCACTGTTTCACTCCCCAAGTGGCCACAGTGGCTGGAGTTGCACCAAACTGGTCAAGAGCCTAGAGGCTCTTTTGGGTCTCCCACACGGGTGCAGGGTCCCAGGGCTTTGGGCCATCCTCAACTGCTTTCCCAGGCCACAAGCAGAGAGCTGGATGGGAAGCAGGGCTGCTGGGATTAGAACTGGCACCAATATGGGATCCCAGCTTGTGTGAGGCGAGGACTTTACCCTCCAGGCTAGCGCGCCAGGTCTGAACAAGCATTTAATTGTTGTTCCCATTTTGTGTTTGTTCACTCACTAGATGTAAACCGTCTAAGATGTGCTGAGATGTGTCTGAGGGTTTGCCAGGTGCTTTATCTGCATTTGCTCATGCAATTCTTGAAATCCCTTTGAGCAGCAGGTGATGTTTTCGTTCTGTAGCTGGGTCATTAACGGGATGGGCAAAGGTGGACTTTCAGCCTGGTTGTTCGGAGCCTTGTCCACACTGCACGGGTCCTGCGATGGGAGACAGACTTAATCACAACATGGGTACAGTGTCCAAGGACCTGCAGAACCAGGGACTCCTGCTTGGGGGAGCGGTGGGGCCTGGAGCAGATGCGGAGGAAAGACTGGGCGGAGGCAGAGGGAGCACGCTGCAGCTGCACCTTGTAATGAAGCTGGAGGTCCTCTGTGGACTGACTTGTTGAAAAAGCTGAGTTCTCTGTCCTGTAGCATTTCCCCATCAACGGGATTTGGATGATTGTGTTTGGGGGATGGTCCTTAATGCCCCACTTCCTCTTTTTTTATTGAAGGCTGTCGATGCTGGTTCAGGTTCAAGGACAAGTTCGTGGGAAGGTTACTTCACTGGTGCATGCTTTTTGCATGTTAGTGTGACCTTAGACGTCAGAAAGCCACGTGTCCCACTGGATCCAGATGTAGACCTTGTAAGGAAAGATCTTAGATACTGTTCTGGGTCAGCTGTTAACTGACGTCATTGGCTGTAATGTGGAACAGATTTTTGGTAATAAAAATTATAGTTTTATTGACAGCTTTTCTGAGATTTTTTTCACATGGTAGTATTCTTTTGGGTTGGGATTTCCTAATTTACCTTTCTGAGCAAGATATTATAGTATTGTTAAAGTTATATCTCATTTAGACACAGAAAAGTAAAGTTGGAAGTTTGTTCTTTGGTGGCAATTCCAGATAAGATCCACTCCACTGTGTAAAAGCACCGGGGAGAGTGAATGCAAAACAGTAAAAGATTGATGCAGAACTGCATGTCTGGATGACTGGAGTCTTTCAGGTTTCCAAAGTTAAACCCACCACACTGGGAAGGAGCCAGCTCCCTTGCCACCTAGGAAGTACTTACCCTTTTGCCAGGTGTAAATGACAAAGAGAACACCAGGATCCCTACTGTGCTCGCTGGTAGCTAGATGTGAAGAAAAGCCAGTTCTACTGCCTTGTAAGGGATCAGGTGACAGCACGTTCGGATGTGAGTTCTGGGCCTGGAGGAGTGCAGAACAGCCAGGGTGCACGTGTCAGAGGCATGCGCGTGAAGGCACATGGGATGTGACAGCATGCACAGTGCTAGCTCATTGGTCACACGTGAAAGGACTCAGGTGGTGCAGGGTCACCTGTCCCCATGTCCCTGTGGTGCAGGCCAGCACACAGTGTGGTTTGCCCCAAATGATAGCTTCTCGACCGTGCATTGCACTACTTTGTTTTATATATGTGTCTACCGTTTATTGTTAACCATCTTGATGAGGGACTGAGCTGTTGAGTCTGTGTACAATTTTTAGGCATTGAAGCCTCCCTCTGCTTTGGAACTTTGCGTCATCCGGAGCGCAAACCACTTTGATAACGTGGCCCATGCCTTCTGTTTTAAGCATCACTAGCTGATCCTAATTTGAACATTTTTCATCTCTTGAGGATGTTCACTAACGGGTGGCATCCTCTAATAGGTGGAGGGTTTGGGCTCTTGGTCCCATGCCTTGTTTCATGCTGAGCCTTTTCTGTTCTTGAACTTGTTCTTGGTGGCAGCGGCAGCAGTGTGCACTGGTCCTTCACCACTGACAAATGTGATAGTATCACAGCAGTCCTATAGGTCTTTCCTCATTTCTGGTTTACTACTTTTAATATGCTAATAACAGAGCATCACCATTCTCTTTAAAGACTTACAGGAGGATTGTCAGTTGTGGTCTTCATGCAAACCCTTTTACTCTTGCTTTCTAGTTGTTTGCCATGCCCATCCTTGTTGAGGCAGTTAAATATTGGTATAATAGCATAATACAGTATTATATTGTATACTGTATAAGATTGACTACTCATTTACTTTTTTAAAAATAAATTTTATTTTTTATGATTACATGGTGGATCAGGGTGGGAAGGATCGAGGTTTATGGAAAATTGGATGTACTAATTGCTTCCAAATTTGCTATTTCTTATTGTTCCTGGGGGGAGAGGAGAGATGAAAGAGAAACACTTCCCACATGTCCCAGCACCCAGGGATGAGGAACCGCCATTGTCTTAGTTCTTCGCTTCCCCAGTTGCTTACTGACTGCCCTCTACTGTTAGGTCTATTAATATTTGGTTTGTTTTGTTTTTTGTAAACATTGCTTTTCTATTTGAGAGAAATGGGTAAGGGGAAGAGAGAAATAGAGAGTGCCAATCTGCCAGTTCACTTTGCAAATGCCCACAGTGGGCTGGGCCAAGCTAGAGCTGGAAGCAGGCATCGCAGCCTAGGCCTCCCATGTGGGTGACGTAAGTACTTGAGCCATTGCCTGCTGCCACTTGGTGTGCATGAACAGGAGGCTTATGGGAAACAGAGCCAAGGCTTAGCCAGAGACTCGAGGGAGGGTGCAGGCAGCCCAGCTCGCATCCCAGTCGCTGAACTAAGTGTCTGCCCCGTATGTTCCCATTACGTTTTGTTTTTTGTCATCTTCTTGTCTCTATTCCTTACTGGTTTTTTTGTTTTGTTTTGTTTTTTCAATGTAGTTTTTTTTTCTTCTTAATATTTTTTCCTTTTTGTAATTTGGTCTTGTCTTTTTTGGGGGGTTGATCATTGTTGTTTTGTGAGACAAGTCAGTGTATGAAATGCTTAGTGAATAGTTAGTGCTTTTACTTTGAAATGCTTGTTAAATTTTTCAGGTTTGTCCTAGGATAGTTTCTGTGCCAAGTTACACATTTACAGAAATGAGTGACTGTTGTAGTCATTACAGAGTATACCCTCAACTCAAAGGTAACTTGTGTCAGGATTCTAAATACCAATGATTTATAATCAGGAAACAGGCTTTATTTATTTAAAGTTTTATTTATTTATTTGAAAAGCAGAGGGACAGAGGGGACACACACACACACACACACACGCACCATCTACTGGTTGCTCTCCAAACACCTGCAGTAGCTGGGGCTGGGCCAGACAGAAGCTGGGGGGCTAGGAGCTGCTGCTTCCCACTTGCGTGAACAGGAACTGGGGACAGGGATTCCGTGCAGACACCACGAGTTGAGAGGTAAGCACTGAAGATTGTGGCTAAACCCTCTGTGCCACAGTGCCTCCCCCAGGGTACAGACTTCAGTGAAAAGTGTGATCAAAACACAGTGATATCAGAAACCCAGAATATGACTCAGAACAAAATATGCAGACCGTCCGTTACTTACTAATCATACTTAATCAGTTAACTTATATGAAAATCTCCTCTTCAAATCCCATCTTATTAAAAGATAGAAGTAAGTGATTCATGAAATTCATTAGAAAGCTGGTACTGACCAGCATTGTGATGTAACGGGTTAAGCTCCTGTGTGCAGTGCCAGCATTCCATAGGGGCACTGGGTCAACCTCCAGCTGCTCCTCTTTGGATCCAACTCCCTACCGATATGCTTGGGATTGCAGTATAGCATGGTCCAAGTGTACCCACACATGGGAGACCCAGAAGCAGCTCTGGGCGTCTGACCCTGGCCTGGCCCAGCCCTGGCCATTGTGGTCATCTGGGGCGTGAACCAGCATATGGAAGATCTTTCTGACTTTCCTCCCTCGCTTTCGGTAACTCTGCCTTTCAAATGAATAAAATGACTTAAAAAAAGCTGATACTGCAATTTGAAGAACAGAATAATAGTGCAAATCAGGAAAACTGAAAAAGTATTCACTCAGTCTACTTCTTAAATCTGTCATAATTAATGGGAAGCACGCCATACATTTTATGTACATTTTACAATGCTTTTTTTCTTTAAAATTTCCCACCAAGTATTTTTAGAATTTTTGAGATCACATGTTTAGTTTACAGTCAGAAGCCTAATGCCCCATTAAATAAAGAGTTCAACAGACAGAAAGTAAGAAATATCACAGTTGAAAAGGGACAGAGATGTC